GGGGGGGGGGGGGGGGGGGGGGGGGGGGGAGGCGAAGACGGAGGTGAGGAGGAGAATCCCCTCCTACTCTAGAACTGCGCAAAAACTAGGAATACAATTATAACATTGCTTCTTAGAGTTACTTTAATTTGGAGTTACTTTAGGGTTTATTTTTAGCTTTAGATACGAGCTTTTGCAGCACTGATGTCTGTGACGCTGGCCAAACCGACCTGTGAGGCAACTGTAGCTTTTTCAGGTTCTTCAACAGTTATTTCATAGTGGATTTTCTGGTACTGTAATTGTTCAGCTGGCTGAAATTATTCAAAAAATCAGTTTAGAGATCAAATCGAAACTCACTCAAGTCCATAATCCCAGTCTACAAGCAATGCATCCTCACAATTCACATCCTCACACCCTCACAATGCATCCTCACAATATCGCCTCCTAAACACTAAAGATTTTTTTCAGACTGCGTTTTTTTCGGCCAGCTGGAGCAAAGTTCATTCAATATATTCTTCGAGAAGTACTTTCGGATTGAGCACTACGTTCTTCTACTTTTCGAAATTTTTGACTTTCGAACGTTTGGGAAGCGCGCAGGTCACCAAGTATGCGTCGCTAAGCTGAAATATTAATTCTAGGACCACAGGCGGGTTTTACCAAATTAAAACTTCTCAGATCTCACCAAAAATTCATGTTTGCTTTGTGCAACAAAAACAATGCCAGCTAACATACCGCAAAATTACCTGCACTCAAGCTTACCTGCAGAGTCACCGTAGCCTTCGACTGATCCAACAAAGCTTTGCTAAGCTGCGTTTTCTTATAACAGGTTCGTGCAAGCCATTCTCGTGCGTGTTTCTGAAGTGAGAAAAGACTGAAGTGAGAAGTGAGGTGAGAAAAATCTCAAAAAGACTGTTAACAAAAACCCATGTCGGGTCCAACTAAGAACAATCATTTTATTGCCGATCATTACGAGCCCTTTCAAAAAATACATTGGGAGCGAAGAAGAGAGCAAGACCGTCGCATGTAGCTGTCAAAGGTCGGAGAGACTTAGAAATGACGCACTGCTTGTGGTGGAAAACCCTCAAAAGCTGGCCAAGAAGCTGCCACAAAGAAAAAAGAAAAGGTGTATCTTGTGTTGGAAGGCGGATACACAGTAGATGTGCTGCCAGACTGAACGAATTTGAAGCCCAAGGAGCAGTGGTGTAATGGTAACACGTTGCGTCCGGATGTGAAGGGGAGTGGTTCGATTCCTACCAGGTTCAGAACAATTTTTGGAAAAAGGACTCTGTTCACGAAACTGCTTTTAGGTAGCACTAAAAAATAATGGTATGTATATGAGTGGCAGAAATACAGATATAAATGCTCAGATTTGCTAAATGTAGCACAAAGGCCAAAATATAATAACATATCACAACTGGAATATTCCAGAGATTGTGAAAGCGTGAAGTTCGAGTTCCTTCCGAATCACACCGTTTGGAAAAAGGAGGTCTGTTTGGGACAGCTGCAGTTAAGTACTGGGATTTCGACTCCCCATCCTGGTTAATTATTTATCGAATATGCATACCAGAGATTTTGCTTATGAAACCAACCTGCAAAGTGACTGCTGCTTTTTCTCGCTCCTGTAAAGCCACTTGTTCTTGCTTTTGTTGCTGCATCTTGTGATAGAGCAATCGCGCATGCCAGCCACGTACGTACCGCTGAAAATTAGCAAAAATTTGGTTCCGTATAAATCGGAACCTTTTGTACTAAACAAGCTTTCAGAGATAACTGATAACTCTATAACAAAATTTTCATAAGTTACTGTACTGTTTCCGTATATACACCAAGAATACCAAGCAGTTCTTGATTAACTAAGTAACAAATTAATTTATTTATTAAACATGTGCACCAGAAATTTTGCTTATGAACCAACTTGAAGTATAACTGCTGCTTCTTCTCGCTCCTGCAAAGCCATTTGTTGTTGCATCTTGTGGTATAGCAATCGTGCAAGCCAGCCACGAACATATCGCTGAAAGTTCGCAAAAATTTGATCCCGCATAAACTGGGGTTTTTCTAGTTAAGGAGCTTTCAGAGACAAGATTGAAATTCCTTAACAAAATTTATGTAGATTTCCGTACTGTTACATATAACAAGAGGACCAAGCCTACTTAATTAGCAGACTAATATATTTGTCGAGCATGTGTACTGAAAATTTTGCTTATTAACCAACTTGAAGTATAACTGCTGCTTTTTCTCGCTCCTGCAAAGCCATTTGTTGTTGCATCTTGTGGTAGAGCAATCGCGCATGCCAGCCACGTACATATCGCTGAAAGTTTGCAAAAATTTGATTCGGTCCAAATCGGGCGGCCTTTTGTGGTTAACTGGCTTTCAGAGGTTAACCAAACAATTGGTTTAATTATTTGTTTGATTCATTCGTTTAATTAATTTTAAGTCTAAATTTAGGTTTAATTAAGTTTAAATAATTTGTTTAGTTAATTTTTAGTTAATTTAATAAAAAACCTATTAACCAAATAATTAATTTATTTATCGAACAAGTGTGCCAGAAATTTTGCTTATGAACTAACCTGAAGAGTAACTGTTGCTTTTTCTCGCTCTTGCAAGGCCATTTGCTGTTGCTTTTGTTGTAGCATCTTGCGATAGAGCAGTCGCGCATGCCAGCCCCGTAAATACCGCTGAAAATTTGCAAAAATATGATTCCATATGTTCAGGAGCAGTTGAAATTCCTTTAACAAATTTTCCATACTAAGAATACTAGAGATTTATTAACTAAGTAATTAACTCATTTGTCGAACAGGCATATCAGAAATTTGCTTGAAAAACCAACTTGAAGAGTAATTGCTGCTTTTTCTCGCTTCTGCAAAGACATTTGTTTTTGCTTCTGGAGCTGCATTTTATGGTAGAGCAACCGCGCGTGCCAGCCACGTACATACCGCTGAAAATTTGCAAAAATTTGATCCCATATAAATCGGGGCTTGTTCGAGCTAACAAGAGACAACTGGAATCCCTACGACAAAGTTTTCGGGCTGTCATATTTAGTTCAGCAAAAGAGCAAAAATCAAGAAATGCATTTTCAAAATTTACTTGTAAAATAATTGCTGCGTTTTCCTGCCCCCGCAAAGCCTTTTGTTGCCTCTTGTGGTAGTGCACTCTTGCAAGCCAACCACGCACATAACGCTGAAAAATTACAAGAAACATCTGTCAAACATCGTCTGAGACGCACTGAGAATCAGTGCCATCGAAAGAGAGAGCTACCGAAGCCATGCCAGCGTGAGACATACTACCGCTTAGCAGGAGGGATTTTTAAATTTTTTTTCCATTAAAATGAAAAATCACCGAGATTCATCTAATGGCATAATAGTTTTAGTAAGCTTTTGGAAGGAAAACAAATATATGTTTTTTTTTAATATATTAGCTTCCTAGCCAAAAAAAGAAAAAAAAAATCAAGGATGATGGAATGTAAAGATTTTCTAAAAGTCAAGTGTATCGCGCGAATTATCGAATAGCGAATTACCAACTTCGCCCAACGAGTCAATAAGTTTTCGATGAAATGATGTTATTGAGAATCCATACGCCCTGCGTATGTACCTCAGGCCCTGCGATCATGAGCTACTAGGTGGTGCTTCATTTCATGTCTATCAGTTATTTGGTGTAATATTCGCTATTACTTCCGAGGCAGCCCAGTACTTTTTGCTATTACTTTTCTACGAATACTTTTTACTATTACGCGACTTCAGCGATTTTCGACAATGCGGGCAATAAAGTCCGTCTGTCGTGGACGAAGCCTTTTTCAAAAATCTCTCCGGACGAGAAGGGGATCGAACCAACCCTTTTCACGTCCAAACGCAATGTGTTACCACTACACCACCGTCCCTCATGTTCCATTTTCAGCCTGGCAGCACATCTACTGTGTATCTGCCTTTCAAGACAAGGCGCGCCTCCCTTCTGTGTAGCTACGTTTTCGCTCGATTCCTCGCATATTTCTCCCCCATTGTTCAATTTGCTGACCTGCAGCCTTTTTTTCCTATATTTTTCCCCCTCCTACCAAGTTTTTTCAGAACCAGTTTTTCACTCTGCTGCTTTTCAAAAATTTTCATTTCAAAACTATCTTAATCTTCAATAAACTTTCTGTCAGCACTGAACTACACCAATTAAACAGTCTAGTAACGATAAGTTAAAAAATTACGTGTTCCCAGACAGACCTGCAAAGTGATTGCCGCTGCCTCTTCGCGTATTTGCAGTAAAGCGTTTTCGTGTATTTTTTTGTAATATGTTCGTGCAAGCCAACCGCGTACAAATTTCTGGAAGTACACAGAACGGATTGGAGGAATTAAAAAATTCAATTGCACATTAACTTTTAAATTTCGAATTTGAATTCAAATTTAATTTAATTTTATCTTATTTTTTAACAAATTTAGTAAACTTAATAAACAAATTTAACAAATTTAATAAAATCCAAATCTCCTCCGTATTTGCACTCTATAAGAGGCGGAGAAAAAAAAGCGAAATACAAAGAAAATCCCGAAAAAGGAATTAAAGGAAAACAAAAAATTAAACTCCTGGGACAAAAACAAATTCTTTACAAGATACCTGGATGACAACGGCGGCTCGTTGCTTCGCAATTTCACACTGAAATTTCCATTCATTTACCGCAATTTCAACATCTTTAGCACAAAAAATTTCTAGTCTATAGAACATTTAAGATATTTTTTCTGTTCTAACCTTGCGAGAGCAATATCTCCGGTAAGCATGTTGTATCGTAATTGCAGCACGTGTGGAACG